GAATTTTTTGAGTGCTGCAGGTTACAGGTTGCAGAGGTGGGCGCGGGTCAAGTATGCGGATCGCGGGTTATGGTTGGGCTGGGCTGCTGTAGTTTGGGCCTCGGTGCTATAGGAGTGGGTAGCGGGTCGCGGTTTTGGTCTGACTCGGATCTGTTGGATCCTTTCTTCTTCGCCCAAATGGCCACGCATTTTTCCGGTGAACCTTCTCTTTCCTTCCTGCCACGTTTTCAACGCCGTTTTCTATCCTTTTTCTCCCTTTCTTCACTTTCTCGAAGTCTCATGGCTTAAACGTGCTTAAAACAATAGATCTACAAACGCTTAGGAAACCCAAACTTCGACATCGTTGACCGACAACAACAAATCTACAAAGCTTAGGAAAAGGGCACAAAACTCACTCTAGGTTGATGTGCAGTCGTCGTTGATCCTTCTCGTGGCGTCAACTGAGCATTTCAACGTCGAGTATGGTGGTTTAGGCTGTGGGTTTCGTTTTTCGAGCTGGTGAAGTTGTGGGTCTCTCTCTCTCTCTCTCTCTCTCTCGTTATTCTCCTTTCTTTGCTTCCTTGCAAGGGTTCGGGAAATACTGAATGAGGGAGGGGCTACTAGTGATGGTTTGGGCAAGTTCTGAGGATCATGGAGCGTGTTACATGTGGGTCGTGGAAATTCTCGCGACGGAGTCTTTTTTAAAAAAAATATATGAGCGTTACATTATATACCCAAAAAAGAACTTTGGTCAGCTAAAGTCTCAAACTCTTGTACTAATTCCGAGTATTTTTCTCTTATTTCATCCTCATGCTCCCACTTGGACTCCTGGGTGTGGTACTTTCGCCACAGCGCCTTAACGAATACAATATCCTTGTTGCACAACGCTTTCACTTTCAAAGTTAAGATTCTTATGGGTTTTTCCTCGTAACTCAAGTCTTTGTTGAGTTTGAGGGGTTCGTATTCTATTACGTGGATAGGGTCCGTCATGTATTTTCTCAGCATCTACATGTCAAATACATAGTGTACTCCTAAGACGGAGGGAGGTAAGACTAACTTATATGCTACGGGATCGATCTGCTCGAGAATCTCAAAAGGTCTGATGAATCTGGGACTTAACTTGCCCTTACGTCCAAACCTCAAACATCTTCCATGGGTGCCACCTTTAGGAATATTAGGTCCCTTATCTCGAACTCTTAGTTCCTACGCTTTACATGGGCGTAGCTTTTTTGCCTACTTTGACTGGTACGCATCATCGCTCAAATTTTCTGGATAGCCTCATTGGTGACTCGAACTAGTTGGGTCCTACTAACTCTCTCTCACCTACCTCGTACCAACATAGCGAGTACCTGCACCATTTTCCATACAAGGCTCAAACGGTGCAATTCCAAAAAATGGGTTGGAAGCTAATGTTAGATAAAAGCTGTGGTTTTCTTTATCTACATCATTCACATTTTCCTTAAAATTATTTAGTTGAATCTTGTTTTTAGGCTATGTGAATTAATGCACCCAAGTAGAATGGAATACTTCATGCACAAGATTTGTTCCGCACTTCTGCAATTTTTAGATTATAGTTTGTTTTAAATAGTCCAATCAAATGAGAAATATTTGAACAGTGTTTTTCAGCTAATATTACAGGAGAATTCCATCAGGTGGAGCTTGGAATCCCTTCAAGTCTAATACGCAAGTGCGTAGCATGTTCTCTAAGATTTGATTTATGCGCTTCGTTTGACCATCTATTTAAGGGTGGAAAACAATACTAAAGTCGAGGCAAGTATCTAACGCTTTTTGAAGTCTACGCCAAAACACTGATATAAAGCGTAGGTCTCGATCCGATACTATTAACACTCGGACTCCTTGTAGCCTCTTACTATCTCTTTCATATATAGTTGAGTCCATTTGTCAACGGTATATGTGGCTTTTCTTAGAAGGAAGTGTGCCGACTTGGTCAACCTATCGACAATTACCCAGATAACTGTATAGCCCTTTTGTGTTCTGGGTATTCCTATTATGAAGTCCATGACTATATTCTCCCACTTCCACTCCCTATCCTTACAGGTTGTAACATCTCCAAGAGCTTTCACTTGTTAAAATACTAAGCACTTGCTCACAAACTCAGTCACGTCTCTCTTTATGCTTCTACACTAGAAATGTTATTTCAGGTCTGGGTACATCTTAGTACCTCCTGGGTGCATTGCAAATATTTTCGACATTTTTGCTAGAGATGATGTTTCCTTTTTAAAATTTATATTCTACATATTAGCTAAGCATGAGACATTAGTAATAACTCTAAGTAAGTAGATATTTAGTTGGTATCAGAGCCACACACCGGGCGATGTGCCAGCGAGTAGGCTAAGCCCTGAAGGGGGTTAGACACGAGGTAGAGTTTGAAAGATGACAAATTGGTAATGAGACATTACAAACTCAAATGATCGTTCGCACCCCTTGGCCACACTTGACAGATTTGAAGTACTTCAATATGTACCGTATAGGGAGGCATGGTGGCAATTCTCCACCACCCCTGGACCCTGTGGCTTAAGGGAGATACCTCGTGGCATATGCGTGGGTCACAGTGAAGGCGAACATTGTTGGATGAGTGTTTTAGGTGACTTCCTTTGAAGTTGGTGTTTCAAGAATAGTATGAGACGGCACAGATGTGCCAATATTTCATGCTCGCCCATGTTTTAGAAACTGGATTATGTGCCTGCTATCTGAACAATGTTCGTAAATGATATGACATGGACACTGAAGGTCGGGCCTCTATAGAACCTGGATAGATTGATGTTTGAGGTGTCTTGATGTATGAATGACACATGGGCCCATTCTCGATTGAGTGAGCTTCGATGATTGATGACATCTCGGAACTTGGTATGCCATCAACACATGATGGTCGTGTTAATTAGGAACAAAAATAACGAGATGAGATGTGATGATGGATGACATCTCAGGACATGGCGTAGTGTAGAGGTAAGTCGGTTAAATCATAGATGATTGAACATGCACTAAGTCATAGATTATTGAACATGCACGCCAGATGAGTTAAGTCCATGACTGGGCGGCCTAACAAGCTTGAATTTTAAACAAGTTATGTTTGGTTCGAAAAAACAAGTCTCACCTATGGTCTGACGAAGCCACACAAACAAGTAGAAAATACATATGAATTTTTTGTTCTAAGCGTGACCTCGTGTACGGTTGAAAAATACATATGAATTTTCTTTATATGTTGTTTGAATTTTAAAAATATTTTACAAAGCAAGTTAGAAGATAATCATTTAAAGATTCATTGACTATTGTTGCAAAAATTATTGGATATTATTCATTGTTCATCCTGTATAAAGAATGTACCATCAATTAAAAATGTATTAATATGCCATTGCTTCCATAAAATATTCCTTTCATTATTCCTCCAATTATTCCTTTCATTCCATAAAATATTCCTTTCATTCTTCCTCCAATGATGTTTACGAAATCGAGTTCTTTTCAGGTTATAATTTATGGTTATTTCTTATAGTTGATGGTTATTTCTCAATTCCATCTTTATTACAAAATTGGACATGAGTGTTTCTTCTCAATCAGTTGATTCCAAAAAATGTACATATATTTATTGAATAATAGATTGAATCATGGGTTCTTTGAGATTTAATTTAATTAATCTATTAGAAATTTTTATATCTTTCTTTTGGATATAAAACTAAACTCTTTATAGCTTCTCGAATGAATAATAGAATCATTTTTTTTTTTTTATAGATTTATCTCATTTTTCGTATCAGACCTGCCATTAATGTGGTATTTCATCTCCAAAGTAGGATCTGTAGCTCAAATTAAAGCCACGAAACAAATAGCCAGCAAATCAAAATTGGAATTGGCTCAATTTGTGATTTGGCAAATTAGATGGCTTTGCGCAATTCGCTTATGATCTCGATAAAAACACTCAAAATCAATTGGCACAAGGTAAACGATTACGTGAGTTGCTCTAACAATCCCAATCGGCCCCTCTCACGGTAGAAGAACAGATAATGAACCCAAATTTATAAATCTAATAAAATTGAAATGTTCCGGGACAAATATTTTCATCTATCACCCAACATATTGTCAAACTAAAACAATTTGACAGAGCTCTTAAACATAAATTCATGTACTAACTTTAAATTCTTATATACACCCACAGTCTATGGTTGAACATTTCAGCTTAAAGTAGTACACTTCTTAGTTACAAAATTGAAACCGTAAACGTTACAATTACTTATTTGTAGAGTGAAATTTTTATTTGTTAGTTTGTAGAATGACACAAAATCCTATGTCGTCAAACTTAGACTATAATGCAAAACCGTACTGCGATTCTAAATTTAGAAATCATTGTATTACTATATTTTATATTTGATTGCAACGAAATCTTTTATAATTTTATTTGAGTTCCCAACTTCTCTTTTTTCTTCATTTTGGATCGAAAAATAAATAAAAAATACAAGGGAGGTTCATGGCCAAGTGTAAAGATGCCCGAGTAACAGTTATTTTGGAATGTACTCGTTGTGTTCAAAACGGTGTTAATAAGGAATCCGTGGGGATTTCCAGATATAGTACTCCTATGTTTAATTCTGTCCCCGTTGTTACAAACATACGATTCATGGAGAGATAAAGAAATAGATCGAACCAATCTGTCTGTGTGTCACCCTTTTCCAATCCAAGGAAGATGCAAAATTACATCTATTAAACATATTTTAGATTCAAATATAAACCAACCAAATCTTATTTCTTAATTCTATTTGTTACCTAACAAATAGAATTAACATTATTTGTTACATAACAAAGCTGAGATGTGTGACTCAAAAGTCAAAGAAGAAAAAAAATATATGAAATGAAAATATAGGAAATCATTTAATTAAAGAAAAAATATAAAATAATGAATTTGTCTACAAAACAGTGATTTAGTTTGGCTTAGGTTGCCAAAGAAACCACCTCATGCATTGGTACTCTCATGCTTGTGTGCTACTTCCCATTGGTGTCATGGTTGGAGTTTCAGCAATGCTTCCAACCGATGCACCCTCTGGGGTTAGAGCAATGTTTCCAACCGATGCACCCTCTGGGGTTAGAGCAATGTTTCCAACCGATGCACCCTCTGGGGTTAGAGCCTCTGGAGTTTGAGCGATGCTTCCAAATGGTGCATCCACTTGGACTTCTGTGCTACTTCCAATTGGAGCAGTCACTGGGGCTTTTGTGTCATGTGATCCAGTGGCACGAAATGAAAATTGATCATCGAGATTTACAGCACCAGTGACATCGCCAAAAGTGGCACCTACTTTCGCACAACATTGCCAAGCAACCACTAAGAAAAGGGTGTGAAAGAGCTTGAAACCTTTGCCCATGGCCATTGTGGAGTGTCTTTAAGTTGTAGGGTTAAATGATGAAGAGCAGCAATGGCTAAGGTGTGGGTACTTGAATGATAACGTGAAGCCCTATATATAATTTGATGGGTAAACTATATTTAGAAAAGACCACCAAATTTAGAAAGGCTCTTAAATTTTGTGGGTTTGAGAGTATTCCAAGTATACCATGTTTGACTATTTAATTTCTAATTTCTCTCTCCCTTTATCAAGGTCATTAACCATAATTATATATATATATATATATTTTTTTTTTAGAAAAACATATCACCCGTCATCCTCAACCGATTTGTTTTAAAATATTTTGTGTTTCAACCATTATGTCAATTTTAAATTACTAATGTTTGCACACTAATTAGTTATAATATAAATTATGTTTTAAATTTTAATTGTTTTATTTCACCAAACATTTACCCATCTTTTTCGAGTCAGCTCAGTCATTATAGCAGAGGACCAAACTACTCCTAGAAAATTTTTAAAATGTTTTCCCGACTATAACTCCAAAATGCACCTCATGGTGGTATAGTTAGAGGCTCATGCCTTAATAAATTGAGACAAAGTGGATAGATTCAAACATTAAGAACAAAGTTGATCAAAGCAAACGTGTCAAAAAAAAAAAAAAAAAACGGATGGTGATAAGAAAAACATGATGGTTGAAATTCAATGAAGCACCTCAGCCAAAATTTTATAATAACATTTAATATGATACGAAAAGATTATATATGAAATTTAACGGACATTGGATTATGTTATGATAAAGGGATTATGCAAAGCTTTGAGAACATTAGAATAAGCATTTTTAAACTCATGCTCAAAGGGACTCAAATTCACCATTGCAAACTCACTAAATGTTAACTCATAAGGAACCTATCCCCACTAGGCCCATGGGCGCTTTCCAATATGGAACCCAGTCATATAAAGTTTATTATGAACCCACAATCGGTTAGTAACACACATGAACATCACACCACCCCATATCCAATGGGACTTGAATCCACAATTGCTGGATTAGAAGTTAGATGCCTTATCCACTAGGCTATGGACGCTTTTCATTATGTGACCACTCGTATAAGGTTTCGCATTGCTTACTCCAGACTTATTCTTCTTACTTGAAACTTTTTTTTCAAGTAACTCGGGGTGGTAAATGATCAAAATACCGCTGGAAGAATTCTAAGATGATTTCAGGACCATAACTTCAAAATGTACCTCATGAAATTCTAAAATAATACTTTCAGCCACTATAGGCATGGCATAGTTTAGGGTTTAGGTTTCATGCCTTCAATAAATTGGGAAAAAGTGGATGGATTCAAAGTTAGGAACAAAGTTGGTCAAAGCCACATGTGAATGATAACACAAGATGAGAGAGAAATATTAACTGTTTCAAGAAATAGTTGGTAATTTGGAGGATGTCTAGACCTTAAGGTAGGATTTAACTACTTGTTTCGTTTTCAGGAAGTAAGCCTTAGAGGTTATCATGTCATGCATCGTGTTTTAGCCATGAAAGCTCTTCAAAAGTAACTCTTAATTTTCTCCCCATGAGTGCATAGGTGGCATCGTCATAATCATGACATCCTGCTGGTAAATCGTGATGCAAGGCATCTCATTTAGGTGAGAGAAATAATATGTCCATGGCAACCTGCTCATGGTACATATAGCCGGGCATCCCACCTAAAGATAAATAGGGGTCTCGTGGTACACTTCATGACAGGAGATAATGGTTACTTTGGGTATGGATCCTAACAACTTGTTAAGTGTGATATTTGCATTAACCTAGGTATTTTCTTGGATTCTTGGTGTTCCTAGGTTTATGCATCAAGCTTGGAACTTATAAGTTCTTCTTAAGAATAGCCCAACATGATCTTGTGCACGTACCATCTATTAGCGGCCCAGAGTACATGATCTTCTATGGAAACATTCCTTGGAGGTGCATGGGATCATTCTTGCTCGACGAATCATCGTGTATCCTCAGATTGGATTTTCAAGTTTTCTTCTAAACTCTTCAATGGAGGATTGGATTGGGGGAATCGTTTCTGGGCACTTTCAGCACTCTATTCCTTGATATAACTTATAGGTAATCTTGTTTAGAAACTGTAGGAACAAATTTGAAGAGAAAGGGTGGAGAATTGCTCTCAAATTTTGAAGAAGTCCGAGAGTAGGAGACCCAAAATCTAAACGATTATTGCATTTGATTGGGTGCTCGATTCTTGTTCCAAACAATTGCCCCAACTTCAAACTTTATAGGGGAAGCTTACACCAGCGTTGAAACCTCCAGAATTGTCGTGATTTGTAGATTGAACTTTCTAAATAATTTGTCGAAAATATCATCTTCGATCAGAGCCTTACCGACTTTGGTTTTGAATACTAGCTGTTGGATGTGATGATCTGTACGATCATATCCAATTTTGGAGGAGATCCAACGGCTGAGATTTGAGTTTCGAAGGATATTGTTCAGATTATCACGATAGATGCTCCGATTCTGATCAGAGTGGCATTTTTATAAATATCCATTCTTCGAGGGATATTTTGGTAATTTGCACTTTCAAAATATTTTAATATTATTTTCCTCCAAAAATTCATAATTTTCCAAAAACTTCTTCATCTCTTTTTGGTCTTTTTTTTTTTTTTTCCTTTGAGCATCTTTAAATTCCTTCTATAAAAGGAATTAATAATCTAAAAAGATTCTTGATAATTGAACAAAATGATCTTTTTTTCTCTTTTCACTTCCTTTTTTTCTTTCCAATCTTTTGTCAAAGGCCTTAACTCCTTAAGATTCCTTGTTAATGTGTAGGAGTGGCTTGCTTAAGTCCCTTGTCGTTACTTAATCCTTTAATTTTTTCCCTTTTGATCATTTGGATGTTACATGGGCGACTTATTCTTGTTGGAGTTAATTTCCTTCGTTTTTTGGGTGCTACACGATGTTTACTGAGACAATTAAGTTTATATTCAAAATCGTTGAAGTCTCGACATAAGTGAGAACGAATTCGAAGAATGAAAGCAAGCAAATTTGGTGCTAGATAGAACTTCGGCTAAAACCAACCAAATAAACGAATTCGAAGAATGAAAGCAAGCAAATTTGGTGCTAGATAGAACTTCAATTAAAACCAACCAAGTAAGTGGTCTTACTATTGGCTCGGTCGTAAGACTTGTCTTGTGTATGATGACACGTGTCTAGTGACCCTTGCACGTGTCATGTATGCTTATATGATGATGCGAATTGATATGATATGATATGATATGTTAGGATGATGTTACATTGTTATGATGATGTATTATGATTATGTGATGATGTTATGATGATATGAATTGATATGATATGATGATGTATTATGATGATGTTACAAATGTTATGATGATATGAATTGATATGATATGATATGATGATGTATGATGATGAGGTTATGATGGTACGGTGACCTGAATTGATACAATATGATGATGCATTATGATGATATGATGGTAAGCTGAAATGATGATGCACTATGACATGATGACATAAGATGTGTAATGATAATGTGACATAATATGATAATATTTCATATTACGATGATGTGCATGTATGAGCTGTCATGTTGCATTATGATGAAAAGTTTTGTGATACACTACCCTTATGCATGTTACCTAGAGTACATGGGAAGGATGTATTGGGTTGTGTCACATGAATAATTTAAGATGAAAATGATAGGGACCTCATGTATATTGTATGTTTATTTACCGTGAGTTACTTGTCATTTTATGATGATGAGTACAAACGCATACACTATGATAATGGTGATCATCATCTTGCCTTGCATGATATTCGAGGATTTGATATACCTTCGGATGTCCGACTACAGCCAATTAGCTCGACTATGAGGGGCCCAGGGGGTGTCCGACTCGACTGGTGGACTCATGCGCATAGGTGTGGGTTGTGTGTAGGGAAGTACTACACATCCAATTTCTCCAAACTGGAGGTCGCTTCTGTGATGGTTTTAAACAATAGGTTCCTAATCATGTTTTGCATGTGTTTGCATTTCCTACCCCAATAGTAGAGTCAATTACAAAGTAATTCATAAAATGTTAAAGTCATGTGCTACTTTTATTTTTAGATAAAGGCAAGACAAATTTGTACGGCGACGACGACATCGCAAGTTAAGACCATGACACTATTGTGAATGGGCTTAGTCAAAGAGAGATTTCAATATTCAACGAAAAATAAAAGGATAGAATAGTACTTTCACACTCACTTTATTTATATAAAAGGATCATATTAAAGAATCACATGAACCATACACCCATTTCATAAAAAACAAGAGAGATTTAAAATTTTTACCAAAAAAAGAAAGAAACAATGGAGGAGGCTTCAAGTTCAACTCTTCAAAACAGCAACAACGATAATGCTAAAGCTCATCTACGACGACGTGGGAACACTCGCAGTGGTACTCATATTAAACGTCTTTCTGGGCCACTTCGAAGGGCCAGCGACACTCGCACCAACCGTGGCCCTTCGCCGAAGAAAAGCACAGGTGGCGGTAGTCAGACCAACTAAGATCCATGTCGTGATTTTCTCAATTTTGTGTCCACTAATGTAATTAGTGCTCCAAAACTTTTCTGGAGATTAGATTGTTATAAAATATAATGAAATTAAAGGCGAACAGATCCCATGATCTTTTAACCAATAAAAATTGGAACAGCAATGGAATATTGTTCTCACCCTAGAATTATGTCTATCCTATTTCTTATTCTCGTCCAGAGGAATAACACAATCATTCAACTTGAGCTAATGTGCAGCTAATCATGTACGGGCAAAAGTTATTGTCACGAAACACTAGTCGGGTCATTGGGTTGGGTTTGGATCAAGATTTCATTCTGGTGTAGGGTTCGATTCATGGTCACAAGTCTTGAATCGGACGTGGATCAAGTGAGTTGGTTTGGGCAACCGTATGTTTTCGTCCAGCGTCATACATGTCTCTCCATTACACGTCCGACATGTGTTCTACTAGCAGCCAGATGCGTGTTTGTTCCTTTGATCGC